AAATAAGTTGCACACAATTCCACACCGTAAACGTTGCACCGCCAGGGCATAAACCAAGTTCCGTCGACGCGTCGGCATCCAACGCCGTACAGCCGTCGTTACGCAATGCCGCTCTAACCAATACTACAAGGTGGTGTTGACAGCACAAAAATAACCGCAAACAACAGCGCCATACCAAACCTCGACCAACCGCAGGGCATTCGGCTTCCAATGTCGTACCACAAAATGTCGTACCCTTCCCGATGTGTCGCCGTCTGTGCCGCCCACGCCTCTCTCTGTCAACAGACTCTCTCCGAGTACAATTACTGGCGATAATTACTTACTAATTACTGGCGATAATTAATTACTAATTACTGGCAAACTGGACGCGAATTCAGTGTCATTCGCATAAAATTTTGGTGACGCATAAAATTCTTTCTTTTTTTGCAACGTCCGCATGCAAAACAACACAAAAAAGTCCATTTCATCTGAAGGATACATCAATAAAAACGCAAAAAACAAACAAACGAATATATTGCCAAGCATTCACAAACGCACTCATCTCACGAGCCTCCACTGGGGCTGTGACCAGTCGGTCAATCTGCCTGTCTAAAGACATTTTGCCTAAGGACAGTTTGCCAACGGACAATTTGCCTAAGGAATAAGCTGCCTACTGGGCGAAATATCCATTTAAAAACCGTAAGTTAGGCAGACTGTCCGTTGGACAAATTATCTGTCAAGCAAACTGTCCGTTAGACAACTTGTCTGTCAAGCATTAAGCAATCTGTCCGCTATGCAAACCGTCCGTTAGACAAACTGTCCGCTGGGCAAAACGTCTTCAGGCGCATTGACCGGGTACCCACCCCATTGGGCAAGATCTTCACCCTGGCGGTGCTGACTCGAAAACTTAAAAAATTTCAAAATTCCTCAGTCCAACGAACTGAACACATCAATCAGCCAATTCTTTATACAGCAACGCATTTCCACATCATAAACACAACGCAATGAATCAAAAAAAAACAAATCAAAAAATTAGAGATCAATCTCTTTGCGTAAAATTCAATGTAAAACACACAAAATAATCCCTCAATACACACCACAATCGCTGATGATACGATGAATATGATAACTTATAAAAATTTAGAAAGGGTTTAGAAATCCTACAAAATATGCGGTTTCAGCAAACGGATAGGGCCGAGGCAGCCGGCAGACACGACAACGAATAATTCTAGGACGTTCTCTAGACTGTCTGAGCAGGTTATGCCATCTCCACGGGTCTTAATTGATCGACGACAGAAATATTTTGCAGTGAGGCCAAATTCAGTTCCTCACCAACCAAATACACTATCAAACACACGCAAAATACATCCGACTGTACAAATTTCATTACATGATCCGCTTAACGACGACAGCAAACGACAATAAAAATCATTTAAAAACTGATCTTGATGAGTGATCTTTAGTGATCAGTGATCTTAAAAATGAAAG